GTCAACCTCGCAGTTTTCTGAACAGTTCAGGAGGTTAACAGATGATGAGGTGGTGTCCTGTTAGATGGGTAAACTCATAGACTTAATCCCTCAATTAAATCTCAGTGAATCCAAGACTTCTCCCAAGTGAATTTATAGACTCAGGGAAACTGACATCAATTCACTGGCATCTTGAAATGAAAAAAAAAAAAAAAACCTCACAAGATTTTATTCAGCCATCTTATTCTCTTAGGCATTATGGAGTTGCTATTATTGCCTTTGGAAACATTGGATCCTGAATTTTGGGGGAAATCATTTTGTCTACAATGTTTGATTTAGTGAGTGTGATATTGGCTTGTATTAGATATTTGTGTGGTGTGGAGTCAGTGGTGTGATGATCTTGTGTGTCCCATTAAACTCATGGAATACTTTAAAGGAAGGGCTTATTCAACTTTATTGGACTTGAAGGAACCGTACCTCATTTAGCAAAAAAAAAAAACCCCTCAGGTTACAGAGGCTGAAGGAAGCTGACTTTTGAGACTATGTGGTATGACTCTCTGAGACAAGCAAAACTGGAAACTGAGAAGGAGGCATTTTGAGTCTAATGTCTTTGGATTTTTAACTCACAAGGGTGAGACAACTTGTCTTTAGACTTTAATTCATTTGGACTTTACTTACAAGGGAATTTTATTTTTGGATTTTTTAATCCCTCCTTAGAATTTAATAATGAAAAGATTTTATCTTAAGATTTGGGGAATTTATGTGTTATTGACATTCATTACTGAATATTGTCATTTAATTTCAGTGCAGAACTTTTGATGGAACTATATCAGAGAATATGGCTACAATTAATTTGGGTCCAGAAAATAATAGGGAGCAAATTTTCTCATGGACTTATAGCTAATTTAATTAACCTATTGCTCTGACTCACATTAACTAGCAACAGTCATGATGGATTTTAAAAGAGCACCAACGATCGTCTTATCTTTGGTCATTGACTGATCCTGATGGATAAAATGAACAGAAAGCAGAGCTATTTTTGGATAAAATGTTTATACCCTACTCTTTGATGGAAGTAGCCTTAGAGAAAACTCCCCGGCCATGTTTCTCTTACATGAATTCCTCTTTCTGGAATAGGGGAGATAAGTAGTGCCCTGCACAGTTCTTCTCAGCTCTGCTTTCAGTGATAGCAAATGAGCATCTTGAAATCAACCATAGTGGGCGTATTTACACCATAGAAACGTTGCACATCAGGGGTTTTATACCGGAGATCTAGTTTACCAGTAGGCCACTGGGAAGAGAGACCTACCTCATTGATGATTTTGGGATAACATACTGAACTCATGCAAGTCACTCCATCCTGCTTCCCCCCTATTTGTCTCTCTGTCTCTGTCTTTGTCTGTCTGTCTCAGTCTGTGTGTGTTGGAGGTTTGTCCTGCCTGATGATAACAAATATTTGGATCTGCTTTGGGACATGTGGCAACTTTGACAATTTAAACATTGCTCCAGTGATGGGAAGTTAGCTGATCTGGCATGACCTGGGACTAGGTGATTAAAGCTGTCCTCTCTAGGTATAGGTATTACGCCATTTTTACCAACCAAGTCCCTTTGGGTTTCAAAATCTCTCATTTCTATTTCTCTGACTTCTATATTGGTTGAGAACAAAGACAGCAAGGGGATCAAGCAGTACACTGACACACGTTTTGCAGACTTCAACATTCCTACTTCCTCCCTTGAGTAGTTTGGAAGGTGAATGTACTTACATTTCTCTAATGGTTGCATAAAAATAGTCCTGTGTTTTACAATTGTATTTTTATTTTGAAAAATGATCCTACCAAGAATTAGAAATTGTATAATATATGTGTGTGTGTACCATACACACACACACACACACACACACACACACACATACAAACACACACACACACACACACACACATACACACCACTCAAGTAATTTGAAAAAAGCTTTATCTTTTGTCCCAGAGGCAAGCATGGTAATGAAATGATGTTGTATTTCTTACAGAGTTTGAACACAACATGTTTCCTTAATGATTTTTTTTATTTGGAATAGTTTTAAATTTGTAGATATGTTGCAAATAAAATATAGGGGTTCCATTAGCTTTCCATCCAATTGCCCCTAATAGTAACGTTTTACATTGCCAGGGCACACTTGTCAGAGCTGAACAATAGCATTAGTCCATTACTGTTAACTAAACTCCAGTCTTTCCCCAGGTTTCTCCATTTTTCATACTAATGATCTTTGCCTGTGTAAGGATGCAATGCAGGATCCTGCATTATATTTCCTCATCCTGTCTTTTTAGTCTGCACTGTGACAGCTGCCAAGCTTTCTCTTGTTTTTCATGACCTTGATAGTTTTGAGAAGTATTTGGTTTTGTCTGATATATCTCTCTATGTTTGGAATGATTATTCATTGTTTTTAATACTTATAAGCACAATAGATATCTAGATATATATCTATGTGTGCTGTATAAGATTGTTTTGATTTTTTTTTGGGGTCCGGTGGTGGGGCCTGAACTCTGGGCCTGGGTGCTGTCCCTCAGCTCTTCAGCTCAAGGCTAGCGCTCTACCACTTGAGCCACAGGGCCACTTCCGACTTTTTTTTCTGCTTATGTGGTGCTGAGGAATCGAACCCAGGGCCTCAGGCATGCAAGGCAAGCGCTGTACCACTGAGCCACCTTCCCAGCCCCGATTGTTTTGAATTTTTAAAATTGAATGTGAGCTACCATTTAAGTAGCTTATCATAATTTAATATTACTTTTGAGATCTATCTTGTTTTGAAATACACTTGTGCTCCAATATGATATATGTATTCCTAGAAATCTTCCTGGTCTGCATAATTGTGCATTAAAAATGGCAGGGCTGGGGGCTGGGAAGGTGGCTCAGTGGTAGAGCGCTTGCCTTGCATGCATGAGGCCCTGGGTTCGATTCCTCAGCACCACATAAGCAAAAAAAAAAAAAAAAAAGCCGGAAGTGGCGCTGTGGCTCAAGTGGTAGAGCGCTAGCCTTGAGCTGAAGAGCTGAAGGACAGTGCCCAGGCCCAGAGTTCAGGCCCCATGACCGGACCTAAAAAAAAAAAAATGGCAGGGCTGGTGGGATAATTAGATTCATAGATAATTAGAGGTAGGCCATTCAAAAGCCTATGCACCAGTGTATCAGAGGCTTAATATGAACATCCACAGTCTAATGGACTTATGACTGTAGTGTATGCTTCACAGATACTTCCACCAGTTTCACAATTAACGAGGCTGCAGCCTTTCAGTCCAGGGCTCTCATCAACTCCGTTGAGATGTCTTTCTTTGAAGGGCTATCATTTCCCATAGAGGCTGGGTTCATCAAAATTTAAAATCTGATTGTCTTTCAGTCATCAACAATTTGTATTATTATTATTATTATTTAACACAGAGAGAAATGTCTTGGCAGTGTATTCTTCAACACTTGCAGCATTACAATTAGCTTCACTGTGGAATGCAGAGCAAATTTCACAGCTACTAAGCCATGCATCATCATGAACGGACAGCGCTTAGGCAGACAGTTCAGCTTCTTCATTAAGACCTTCACATATTACTAAGGATTTCTCTTTAATCGTGAGAAATTATGGTCTTTGTTGCTTCATTGTTCACCTGTTGGGAGAGAAGACATAAGAATGAACACAGCCTCTATGTTCTATTAACATCATTCTTTAATTTCTACATCTACAGTTTACATATTATAATGAAGCATGTCCCCATTTGCACTTGATTTGTTGCAAAACAGGATGAATATATACTTTTTCTTTTTAACGGAGATAAAGGATTCCTTCATAATTAAGTATTTTCTCAATTGATGGACATTTAAATTTCATCTCCTGCCCATCCCCACAACAAGCAAGGCTGTGAAGAATTTCCTTATACATGTCTCAGAAATAGAGCAGTTAGATTATAGAGAAAGGACTTGTTTAATAGAACACCTACATCACTCTAAGGAGTGTTAGTATCTCTAGGATTTTGGGTCACTCAATGTATATGATAACCTTCCCATTTACTCATTTTATATCCTTAAATATTTTATAATAATCTCTAAATCAAAAGGTCCATTTCTGTTAGATTTACTTCCAGGTTTCTATGAGTTATACTGGTATTGTGACTGGGATCCTTCACATATTATATTGCCTAATTGATCACTTCTATGGAAAAAGATATTTTAATGTGCTTTATGATTATTATATTTTATGCATGTATGGTATATTGTATTTCATCAGCTGAATGAGAGAATGGATAAGATTTTTAGGGTTTCTGGAGACAAAGAAAGAAGTAAAGTAAGCATTTAGAAGCGTGAATTAGGTAACAACTGTAGCAAGATTGCTAGGCAGTGTAGAGGGACAGCTTAAATTCTATGAATAAAAGAAATACAAGTCACTCAGAATCCTCCCTGAAGCTTCATATATTCAGAAAACAATCTGAAGAAATTCTGACACAATGGTACATTTGTGATTAGATACATGTTTTCCTAGACTGAAGATCTTTGAATAAATATACTCAACCGGCCAAGAAAAATTTGTTCTTGGCTCAGGGAATGATATGTTTGTTTTCTTCATTTCCTAATCTGAAAACAAGCAGCTCCTGTCAGGGGTTAATGATTATGTCCATCTCCATAAGCTGTCATCCTTCCTCCATCAAGTGAACTCTATGAGTTGGGTAGTATTGAAGATGCAGGGATCGCATGCACATAGAAGGCCATTTGTGCATTAAATTAAGATCTCCCATTGTTCTCAGAGGATAGGGAGCCAAAGCAGAACATTGGGCAGTTTCTTCACTTTGAATTGGCAATTCAGTAGTCACAGGAATTCGTAATAAATAACCCACATTGATTTCTCTGTCCCAGAATGATTTTTGCTTCCCTTCCTACCAGAGCCCTGACATTTGCCCAAGAGGCAGTGTTAGAAAATCATTTACAAAGAGGTACAGACTCCTCTTTTGCTGTGGATATAAATCCAAGTAGGATAGGATAGGTGTGAGGCAAGGAATCCGGGGGATTTAGTTCCTCAGCTTTCAGACAAAGACATTTTCTCCAAGGGCATAAACCCAGACCTCGTAACCATGGCAGCAGGGATGATGGAGAAGCTGCTCTGGTGCTTCTTGGTCTCCATTAGCTTCTCTGATGCTTTTGGCCAGACAGGTAGGGGCTACTTATGCTATGCCAGAGATTTGGTCTGGAGGATAGGAGTAGGTGTGTAATGCTGTAGCCAGGAAAAGGGGTCAGTTTGTTTCTTGATCCCGAATTGTATTTGCAAATAAGGGACAAACCTTTTGGTCTGATAACTTTTTCCTTTCTACTTGTTTTTCTGTCTCACAGACCTATCTAAGAAGGCCTTCGTATTTCCAAAAGAGACAGATAATTCTTATGTATCTTTGGAAGGACAGTTAATGAAGCCTCTAAAAGCCTTCACTGTGTGTCTCCAGATGTACACTGAGCTGAGCAAGACCCGTGGGTTCAGCATTTTCTCTTATGCCACCAAGAAACAACCTAATGAGATCCTCATATTTTGGTCGAAGAATAGAGGATATGCTTTTGGTGTGGGTGGGCCTGAAGTATTATTCAAGGCTGCTGAAATTCCTGCGGCTCCAGTCCACATCTGTGCCAGCTGGGAATCTGTCACCGGGATTGCAGAGCTCTGGGTAGATGGGAGGCCCAGGGTCAGGATGAGTCTGAACAAGGGATACACTGTGCAGCCAGAGGCAAGCATTATCCTGGGACAAGAACAGGATTCGTTTGGCGGGAGCTTTGATACAAACCAATCTTTGGTGGGTGACATTGGAAATGTGAACATGTGGGACTTTGTGCTATCACCAGACGAGATCAACACAGTGTATGTTGGTGGGACCCTCAGCCCCACTGTCCTGAACTGGCAGTCATTGAAGTATAAGGCAAACGGTGAAGTGTTTATCAAACCTCAGCTGTGGCCCTGACACACTGTCTTGGGTCCTGAATGTGCCTCACGAGGATTTCACCTCAGGAGCCTTGTGTCTCAGGTACATGTTGCAAGCATTCTCTGTAAACAGGTCACAGAGGATGTAATTTAAGTATTTGGCTTGGGAACTTGTGAACTACATTGGGACGCTTTATCCACAAGAATCATAATTGCAGATGTTTTTGCTCATGTGTGTGTGTGTGTGTGTGTGTGTGTGTGTGTGTGTGTGTGTGCCAGTCCTGGGGCTAAAAATCAGGACCTGGGCACAGACTCTGAGTTTTTGTGCTTAAGGCTAGTGCACTACCACTTGAGCCACAGCTCCACTTCTGGTCTGTCAGTGGTTAATTAGAGATAAAAGTCACACAGACTTTCCTGCCTGGGCTGATTTCAAACTGCCATCCTCAGATCTCAGCCCTCTGAGTAGCTGGGATTACAAGTGTGAACCATTGGTGCTTGGCCCTATTTTTTTTAATTGGAGGAATTTCATATATTATTTTTCTCTCACAGAGGTGAGAACATTGATACCCAGAAAGGAGAAGTACATTTTTTAAAAAGTTACAAGATAAATACATCTTTGAGGTGGGAAATGTGTACTGGTCTTCTATCTAATTCTGTCCTCAGGAATTTACTGCCTCCTTTCTTAAAGCACTCTGGAAAAGCAATAAAGATTTCTGTAGCAGAAACAGCCTGTTTTTATTTTCTGGACAAAATGAGGCTTATAGATATATTATTTCAGTTATTACTGCCAATGACTTAAATAGCAATGGTTTTATTTGCTTTCAGTGCTTTCCTAATTTTATATTATTTTGAAAACTCTTTCTTTGCATGTGTGAAACTGTGAGATTCTTCTCTATCCTCACATTTCTAACCAGGCCAGAAGAGTGGACCAGTGAGCCAGGCTGGCCTTGGTTTGGTTTTTGGTTGGTTACAGGTCCCTAGTAGGTCAAATTATCATCTTCCCAAGAATTGTGTTATGGACTTTGGTAAGGAACCTTGCTTTCCCTTGGAATTTCAAGATGAAGAATGGGAGCCATCTTGTGTGCCACATGGAGAGAAACGGGAGCAAAGAAACTATGTTAAATGAGAGGAGCTAAGAAGCTGACAGAGTGATGGATCCTTAGCTACGTTAATTCTCAGAATCAGCTTTGTCTGAAACAAAATTTACATCTAAACTTCCCAGGACTATGCATCAATAAAGCCCCTGCTTACTTGAGTGGATTTGAGTTTTCTGAAGTTGAGCTGCATTATATGTTGTGATTGACTTCTGTAGTGATGCTCAGAAACCAAAGCTTTCCGAGTTCAGGTTTATCTTTGCTGTCCTGCAAAAAGCCAACACTCTCTTCTCTGCTACCATCTACTGTGGAGATTCTCTCTGATACGTACAGCCAGATAGCCAGTCTTTCATAGGAGTCAGATGTTGGAATTTTGATGTTGGGAGTCTAACTCAGGACTTTGTATATTCTCAGTAAGTGCTGTACCACTGAACCATATCCTTAGCTCTTGGATTTTGATAATTTACACTATCATTATTCTAGTTTCAGGAACAAAACAGAAAGACCCATGAATCTGCTCTGCCATTCAGTGTTAAAATGCATTTACCGTAGTCCACTTTGCTCTTTTTCAGAAATAGATTCCTCCAAGATGATGGCTTTATTTCCTTTAGGGATGGACACCCATTACCATGACTTTTCAGAACTGGGTGGACAACTATAGTTCTTCCATAGGGCCAGATCCAGGGATGAAAAAAGGCTCCCTGCCAACAAATCATTATGTAAGTGAAAGGAGATTAACCACAAAGGTTCTGGGATTTGATTGTGCAGATATGAATTCTAGATTTATAACTTATCAGTGATCTCAAGTAACATAACCTCTGTGCCTCAATTTTCTTACCCATGAAGTGAGATAAATAATAGTAATCTACTCAAACAGCTCAGTCAAATAAGATCATGCAAGCTCTCTTACTAGTTACTTGCTATTTTTATTATTAGGCTGTTGTATATTATATGCTTAAACAGCATATGTTGGCTACGAGGGATCAGATTTACAGAGGATGAACAAAAAGGTTTAATTTATGAATATTGTTTCCCCCAATTAAACTATTAATAATAATTATTATTAGTGGTGCTAAGATCTTTAAATTCAAAGCTTTGAGCTGGCTTTACCATTTGAACTATACCTCTAGCTCTGTCTTTTGCTGGTTCTTTTGCATACAGAGTCTAGTGGATTTTTCTTCCTGGGAGGCTTTGAACTGTCATCCTCTAAATCTCTGGCTCCTGAGTAGCTAGGATGTCAGGCATAAGCTATCAGCACCTGGCTCTCATTGATTTTTTTTTTGAGACAGGTTCTCCCTATGTAACTCAGGCTAGCCATGAACTCAAGCTATTCCTGATTCCCTCTCTTGTGTGCTGGGCTTATACATGGGCATCAGGTTCTTACTTGATTTGAAAGCATTTAGGAGTGCATACATTAAGGAGGCACTTTCCTGTGCAAAAAAGTGTAAGTGCAGATATTCTCCATTGTTGAATTAGGGCAGATCTCTTCAGCTAAGCAGAAGAGAAGTTGATGCTTTTTAAAATTTTTCCTAGTTCAAGAATGCATTCAGGAGATACGTCTTAATTAGAAAAGGCTATCCCAAATCTCCAGTCATGGGGATGAGCTAATATTTTCTTCAGAATTTAATTATGGGAACCTTGCTACACGATGTCTGGCAGACAGCCTCTGGCCCTAATAATTTTAGCCAGGAAAATTTTAACAGCTGATATTTGCATTCAGCAAACATTAAGAAACCTTAATAAAGTATTCCTCTGGTATTTAAATTTAAGTAATTTATCTTGTTGGTGGATACCTCCAACGCAACCTTAGGTGGTAACTGATGAATTGTCATACTGTATGGAGTTGTTAGATGTAATCCAATTAAATGTTAGATGACATACGCCATCCAGGATGAATGTGGTTTTGGCATGTTGATGCTGTCTTCCTTTTTTTGTGGTAAATGGGAGAGTAATAGCAACCCACCATTAGTTTCTACCTGATGTCGATAAAGCCATGTGTTCAGCACTGGCTTTCTCAGGGCTCATGCATCTAGTTTTCCTAGCACAAGAGACAAGCATTAGGGTAGAAGTTAAAAAGACAGATGACCAACTAGTATATAAAACCTATTACAAAAAATGAGGCAAAACAGAGGCTGAGGCTCAGTGCCTGAAGAAAAACTATTGTGTGTCTACAGGCCAAATCAAAAAGATATATGAGCAGCATAGATTGGAACTTCTAGAGGCTGCTACATAATAGAACACTTTCTTTTTGTATCTGAAAATAGCCATTTTGGCACAAGGTTAGGGTCAGGTCTGATCCAGATATAAGCACCTTAAATGGGCTACAATATGTTGATATGTAGATCAGAAACGTATAATCTCCCTGTGTCAGGCAGAAACACTGGAGCATTGATCAGTCCAACAAGAGGTAATTATAAAGAAGATATGGAAAACTGAGCTGTGTGGAGAGTCAGGGTTTGGGTAAGACCTGATAGCCAGAGTCTAGGGGGAAAGACTAGGCTGCCTCAAAAGAAAGGGTGGGCTGGATGTGGTGACACACACCTGTAATCTCAGCTACCCAGGAGAAGGTTGGAAGACAGCAGTCCAAGGCTAAAAAAGTCTCAGGGAGAAGTGCAAGATTTTATTTGAGAAACAAACTCAAAAGGACTATAGGTATAACTCAAGTGGTAAAATACTAATGTGAGGCCCTGAGTTCACTCCCTAGGACTACAAACTATCAAAAAGACAGCCAAGGTGGTTCTGGATGGGAATGGGTTTAAAGTTCCCATTGATGAAGTAAGTAGAATGTTAAATCTGTGAATTTGTCTGCTCCCCTCACCCCAAGATGTTTTTCAGTATCCTTTAGTTTGATGGGGGATGTGCTCCAGGACAAAGAAAGCTACTGACTCCGATTACTTTTTTTTTTAAAGCAACAACAAAATAAGACCCAAATCAAGTTTTCTGAATATAGATTTCTAGTTTTTAGACTCTCAGGGACAGAAGAGAAATACTATTTTGATTTCTAAATGGCTCCATCCTGAGATAACTATCCTCTCATCTCAGTTGGGCTGGTGTTACTTGCTTGGGTTCCTTCCCTTCAGGTTTTTTCTCTATCTGTCACCTGTGTATGTTTGCATTTTTCCTGTACCAGAAAGTGAGTAACATGGGCTTGTTAACCTTTTCCTTCAGTAAATGCAAACTCCTTGTTCAAATTCTCAGGAGGCTCTAGCCCAGTGATACATTGTGGTCTGGGATACATGTATCATTATTGCTGGGATGTTTGTTCAGGAAAAGTCCCCAGAAAGACTCATGGTGAAAAGAAAATAAGCCAGGCAAAGAGCCAGGCAAAACAAGAAAGTAACTGTCAATGGGTGCAGATAAAGAATCTCACACTAGATTGCTTATGTTACCAGAATGACTTGTGACACTAGCTGACCTGTAGCCCCTGAAACCTGTCCGACCCTCTCCCACCTGAATTGTTGATCACACACACACACACACACACACACACACACACACACACACACACACACACACACACACACACACCCCAGTCTCTGAGAATTCCTGAGAAGAACCCAGTTTTCTAGGGCTCACCACTCTTTTCTCTAAAGACTCCAATAAAAAGCTTTATGTCTTGACTTCCAGTTCAGTGAGCCTTCTTTAATCTGCCCACCTTCCTGCTGGAGGGTGGTGCTATTGCTTTGTTTTGTTTTGGCTTTCCACCACTAAACCTGTCCAAACCTCCCGTTGGTGCCATGGCAATCAGCTGTGCATGACTTCCCTCAAGGTCCCAGTACATTTTTGTTTCTCCTATTCGTTTGTTTTGGTAAATTCTTTTTATCAGTTCACAACAACAAAGTCCATGAGAGAGTCTGTTGATTGTGGATGCAGATTCATTGACTTCAGAACTACTGGGTCAGATTCTCTGAAGTTAGAGCCCAGGACTATCCAGCATCACATGCTCAGGGTGCTTTTAGAACTTCTACTTTCAAGCTTTCCCTGGAGCCTGTTCCCCAGTGAGCCTGAAGGCAAGTGGTAGTCTTTAAATTGATGTCCTTCTGTGGTTGGGAAACTAGTTTGCACATAGAAATTTTACTGAAGATTAACAGAATATTAGGCTGACAATGCCTGGCTTA